TGCCGTTCTCCCACCTGGAGGATCGGAGGCCATCACCCTGTAAAGGGAGAGCTTAAAGCTACTGCGGTCAGTGCTCTGAGACCCACCACAATCTTTAATAAATGCTTTTTTTTTTTAACCTAGTTCCCTACTCAACAACCTATGTACCTGGAAGGAACATCAGAAATGTCTTCCAAGCCCTTTGTTTTACTAATGAGGAAAGCAAGGCCCAGTGATTGGCCCAGGTCTGGGACCAGGTTTCTTGCACATCCTCGGCCAGGGAATAGGGAGAAGCTCTCATCAGGCACAATCCCTGATAAAGAGGTCTGCAGAATCAAGTGGAGACCAGCACAAGAACCACCCTGGGTTCTATTTTGACAAGCAATGTGACTAACTGCAATTGCTCCTTCTTGGTCTCGCTCACCCAGTAGCCAGAGCCATTGCTTCGCACTGCAGTGATGCTGAAGATAATGGACTGACCCACTAGAAAAAGAGTGCAGACAGCATGGTTCTTCATGACCCTTAAGCGCTCCTGCAGGCACCTCCTAAGGATGAGTACGCTCCCTGCCACAACCATATTCCCATCTTCACACCTAAAAACAGGAATAATCACTCCATAGCATATAACACACAAATTTCTCCCGTAGTCTTTAGTTTTCTTCAAATCCAGGATCCCAAGTAGGTTTGAACCTTGCATTTAGTTGTTATATCTCTTAGCCTCTTTCTTGTCTAAAACAATCCCCCAACTGTAGAGGGCTGAAGAGTGGCCCCCAAAAAAGGTGTGTCCAATCCCGGAACCTGTGACTGTAACCTAATTTGGAAAAAGGGTCATTGCAAGATATAGTTAAAGACCTTGAGATCATCCTGGATTACCTGTGTCCACAAACCCAATGACAAGTGTCTTTATAAGAAGAGAAGACATAGACACAGAAGAGAAGGCCATGTGAAGGCAGACGCAGAGATTAGTGATGCAGACACAAGCCAAGGAACTCCTGGGGCCACTAGAAGCTGGAAGAGGCAGGGAAAGATTCTCCCTTAGATCCTTCAGAAGCACAGCCCTACCAGCATCCTAATTTTGGACTTCAAGCCTCCCTGAACTGTGAGAGAATTTGTTGTTTTAAGCCACCAAGTTTGTGGTGATTTCTTATGATATCCCTAGGAAACTAATATACCCACAGTTTTTTGTGTTGTTTTGTTTGTTTGTTTTTTTGTTTTTTAATGACACTGACTTCTCAAAGAGTCTAGTAATATTTGTCTTATAGAATGTCACAAATCTGATGTTGTCTTCGCATTTACCTTTTAAAGTTACAAATCAGACCAAGTCAGCCCTCTGCTTAAAATGCTTCTATGGCTTTTCATTGCATTTAAAATAAGCTATACACTCTTTACTCTGATTTACAAAGCCCTACGTGTTCTGACCCCTTCCCGCTCCTCTAAACTCACCTTTCCTTCTCTCCTCTCCCACCTCTCTCACCAACCTTTCTCCAGTTCCTCAAACATGCTGAGCTCATCTCAGCCCTATGCTCTGGCTCTTCCCTTTGCCCAGGTGACAACCAAATACAATTTCTGATATTTGAATCTGGATTGGGGAAACTAGCTACTAAAGACATTATTGGGACAACTGGGGGAATCTGAATATGGACTGTATATTGAATTCAAGAGTGGGTTAATAATACCATGGTTATGTAGGAAAATGCCCTTGTTCTTAGGAGCTGCAGGCTGAAGTATTTAGGGGTGAAATATCATGATGTCTGAAGCTTACTTTCAAGGGAATTGTGGCAAAATATTGATAATTGGTAAATCTGGAAGAAGGGTATATTGGTGTTCATAGCAGCATTCTTTCAACTTTTCTCTGGGTTTGAAAATAAAAATAAAATGGGGAAAAGGTGGGCAATTTAAAGAAAAAATCATAGTCCAGATAAACTCAAATTTTCATGTGCATAAAATCACCTTGGAAAGTTGTTAAAATACAGATTCCAGGGATTCAGAAGACCTGGGTGGGGCACTGGAATCTGCTTTTTTTTTTAAAGACTTTATTGGGGAATTGGGGAAGGGAACAGTGTTGGGGAATTGGGGAAGGGGAACATTGTGTTTTTCCAGGACCCATCAGCTCCGAGTCAAGTTTTTGTCCTTCAATCTTAGTTGTAGTGGGCGCAAGCTCAGCTCCAAATCCAGTCACCGCTTTCAATCTACTTGTGGGAAGCGGGGGAGGCGTAGCCCACCATTCCATGCAGGGGTCGAACCGGCAACCTTGTACACCTGAGCCATCAGGCCACCTATTCGTAGCTCAGCGGCGGCTCAGCTTGGGCACAGCTCACTGGCCCATGTGGGAATCGAACCGGCCACCCTGTTGCTCAGAGCTCATGCTCTAACCAACTGCACCACCCAGCCGGCCCTGGAACCTGCTTTTTAACAGGCCCCCAAGTGATTCTAAGTCAGGTCCCCAGCCCACACCATGAGAAGGAAGGTTCACTGAGCACTCTGTGGCCATAAGCTGCTCTCTGTTCTCCAGCTGAGGGGGAGCTGGTTGGAAGGGTCAGACAGGCATATGGAGTTGCAATTTTATGGTGAGGGCAGGACTGGAGATCATGGCCACAGTAAAGGACACCGGGGAGCTGAGGACAGATTTTGCCCTCCTTCCCTGGCTTTTGGCTTCTGGGGGTGGGATTGGGGGTGGGGGCAGAGGAGGGTCCTAGAGCCCAGGGGAAGAATGAAATCAGGGCTCTGAAATCCTAGTACCAGTGCTGCTGTTCTATTTTACACGCCCTTGGTTAATTCTCCTCCTCTGTAAAAAGGAGAACATAATAATTTTGAAGCATCCTTCAAATTCCAACATTCTCTTAGCCTTGAGTCATAAACTGGGTAAACCTGGATGCAGACTGCAGACATATCATTCTGGCTTCTGACCAGAAGGTGGCAGCAACATATCTCTTTATTTTCCAGACTGACATCCACTGGGAATATTTTTTTCAGGTGCCTCAGGGTTGCCCTTCAGTTTAACCAACAGTGATTTGACCACGGTCTTGTGCCAGACACCGTGGACACAAAGGTGAATAAGACCTGATCGCTGCCCTCAAAGATCATATTGTCAGGCAGAAGGGGAGTCGACATATAAACAGGTTACCAGCTGGGTGACCTTGGATAAGTTGCTTAACCTCTCCATGCCTCAGTTTCTTCAACTGTAAAATGGGAATAGTAATAATACCTATATCATATGGTTATTGTGAAGATTTTTTAAAAAGTGGTAAAGTGTAAAATGCTTGGCACATAGGAAATGTTAACTTTTACTGTACGATATGGTGAGAGGAGTGATAAGATAGAAAAAGATATCCAGAGTGCTCCCTAACTGGGACAAGTGGAGTCTCAAAATGGAGATAATGAGGGGAGAATTCCACTCTGGTGGAGCCACTCTGTCAGTGGGGACTCTGCAGCCATACCGGCCTGGGAGAGCCCACCCTGAACGGAGCTGGACTCCTTATGGCTGAGGCTCATCTTGGCTCCCAGGCCCAGAGCACAGAACACCAGCAGGGTCTGGTCCCCCAGCATGAGCCTTCCTGGAAAGGGAGCCACCATTAGCTCACTGTGCAACCTCAGAGAGGCAGCTTTGTGCCTATGAGCCTCAGGTCCTACCTGTGATGGGGAAGGGGAACACAGGAACCAAGGGACAGTACTGAGTTCCATATCTGGACACTGCAGAAAGTCAGCTGCAGAGTTAGCCAATTCAGGAGCAGCAGGGACATGGAACTAGGGATGTAAAGAGGAAGCAAAGAGATCTTGGGGGAGGACATTGGACTTTCCCCAGGATGTAGAATGGAGGTTGAGCCAATCTTAGACCTCAGGGGCAGGGACACCCCAGCTGATAGTTACAGGTAATTTGGGCTGTATCTTTGCTCCTCTGTGTCTGTTTCCTGTCACATGGGAGGGGAAGAAGGCAATCAACAGTATTGAGCACCTACTATGAGCCTCACAACCTAATTGTATTATGTACAATACCTCATGTAGCTCTCACAGCACACCTGGGAGAAAGGTGTCATCCTCCCGATTTTATAGATGAAGAAACTGAAGCTCAGAGAGGACAAGTAACTTGCCCAGGGTCACACAGCTAGTCAGTGCCTAGGCTGATGCCCTGATCTTTTCTCCTCTGACCTCTTCCTCCAATGTACCTCAGTTGCCCACTCCCTTAGAAATGTCCTGGGAATCCTATCCATTAATACCCCAGCTCCAGAATCACAAATTCATGCATCCTGCTCTCCAAAAACAACTTGCTATGCTCTCAGTGCCTCTTTCAATTTCTTTGTACTATGACTGTTCCTTGGCCTTGACTGGGAGCAGCTATGGACCTCTATACTCTGCCAATCTCCCACCCTCTCTTGCCCACACACCCCTCCTCACCCATCTTTGAGTCCAAGGCCCATCATTCAGTAGCTCTCTTGCCAGTAACCTCAACTTCATTGCTCACCTTCCTTGCAAACCTCTGAATACATCCAATCGCCATTTCTCTCCAAGCCTTCACCACAGCAGTCAAGGGCAGCAGAAGGAGGGGGGGTAATAACAACACTGGCCAGTACTTATACAGCAAGTCCTGTGTGCCAAGCACTAAGTGCTTCATATATTGTAACACTGTGAGGGAGGTACTATTATTATCATCCCCACTTGTGGATAAAGACAGTGGGGTGAACTGAGGTTAAGTCATTCACTCAAACCCAAAGCACACAGCTAATTAAGTTGAGGAGCCTTGATCGAACCCAGGCAGCCTTAATCGAACCCAGAGTCCACATCTTAATCAGTATACTATTTGCCTAGAGAGGAAGATGAGGCCACCTTTCCCTCAGCCAGGAAGTACTTGGCTCCTTCCAGACCTGCTTGCAGCCAAAAGTGGGGACAATCTAAAAGAAGTCCAGATCCTCACTGCATGAGGGAGCTGACAATATCACTAGGGAAATCAATAACAACAATAATAAAACTAGCTTACATTTTCACTTGTCATTATGTGTGTTCTAGGTATTTTACATGTATTTATTCATTTAATCCTTCCAAGAGCACGATAAGGTGGAAGCTACCATTATCCCCATTTTACTAAAGGACAAGAACAAACATAGTAATGAGCCTAAATTCGTACAATAGAGAGTGTTGAGTCAGATGGGAAGCTTGGCAGCTGGATGCCAGAGTCCTGGCTGTTAACCATGACCCTTTTCTACTTTCCTTCTGGTCCCAAGATCTCTCAGGCCTGGCTCTTTCTGAGTAAGTGGAACAAGTCTCCCTGCTTTGCCAGCAGGCCTGGTTCCTCCAAGCAGACCCCAGCCTTACTCCCTCCTCAGCCCCCAGAGCCCTGATGAAGAAGCCCTGATCCCCTCCATTCTGAGGCATCTGGGTAAGTGAGGTGGGAGCTTAAGCGGGGGAAGGGATGGAACCCCAACTGGAGCTCCTCAGGCCCAGCCCAAGGAGCCTCTGCACTCAAAGGCCCAGGTCTACCAGCAGCTCCTTATAAAGACAGGGCCAGAGCTGGTCCTCCCAGGCCTTGCTTGCCCATCCGCATGCAGCACCAGCTCAGACTCCCAGTTTGCTCCTAGAGGACGGCAGACACGGGCAGGGCAGGGCTTAGGCTGGAGTCAGTGGGGCTCCAGGCCAACAGCAGCAGGGGCTCAGAGCCTAGGAATGCGGCAAAAAGCACCAAGGCTTCCCCAGTCCCCTCCTCACACCTGCCAAAACCCCACCCTCAGCCCAGGCAGGACCCTCTCTCCCTACTCCCAGAATTTAGTAGGGACAGGCCCTGGTTTATCCATCCTTCCCGTCTCCCGTCCTCCCTCTTCCCATTCCCCTGGCAACCAAACCAGACCCATCAAGGAGAAGGACCTGGCAGCTGAGCAGGGAGAGACTAATGGCCGGGAAGGAAGGAGGGGCCTGCAGAGGAGAGGAAGGAGGTAGGGATGCGAGCAGGCAGGCAGGCGTTGGCCCATCTCAGAGGACACACAAAGAGGGGAGGCTCCCCTGCCCTGCAATGCTGAAGGAGCTGGCCGCCAGGGAGCCGCCCTCCTCACTGCCTCAGCCAGAGATCCAACCCAGAGTCCTAAACCTGCTTCCCCAGATACCCAGCTCTTGTCCTCAGGGCCAATCGGAGGCAGACCTGTCCCTACTGGAGAGCCCTGGAGTACCCAGCGGCTGCAGCCCCATGGCTCCTGGCAAACCCAGCAGGCCTCAGCACCCTGGCTCCTGCAGACCATCCGAGCTGCTTCTGTCCACTCCTGGGCAACCTGTGCCTGCGTTCTGGAAGCCATTTGACATGCAAAGGCCAGACATTAGCCTTTCCGTTAACTCCAGGGTGGGAGAGGGTAGGAAGGGATATGTAATGTGTATGTGTGTTTGTGTAGTTTGTGTGCACATAGGTATACAGTGCTACTATATATACACTGTATATACACACATATATATATATATGTATCTCTTTGTGTGCACAGGCTTATGGATCTGTCCTGGGGTCTTCTTTCCCCTCATTCAGTCCCTGAACCACTGGGGATGGGCACCTTCTCTTTCCCCATCTCTACCCCATCCAGCTCTTCCCATCCCTGGGTACCTGCAACTCCCCAACACTGGAAACCATTTCCTGCCAGTTTGTCCATCTCTCAGCCTTGGCAGCAGCTACCACCCTTCAGCCCCCTCCCCTTCCTATCTCACAAATAGCCCTGGTTCCCGTAAGGCTGTGACTGAGCAGCAGTTGGTTGGGGGAAGGGAGAATCCCGTAAAGCCAGACAGCATACACTAGTGCTCACTCAGCTCAGCTTCTGGCAGGGCACAGACCCTGCCTTGTGCGACCCAGAGCTGGGCCCAGTCACCCTCAAGCCCTTCTGGTGTGCCCACCCTGTTGCGGCCTGGGGTAGGTCCAGGTTTGGGAGCTGTGTCTTTAAAGCTGAGACAACAGCAGGCACCCCCTGGCCAAGCGTCCAGGGGAGGGGGAGGGGAAGTAGCCTGTCCATTAGCTGCAGAGCTGGCGCCAGGCAGCAACCCTTCACAGGGCCCTGGGGATTACAGAGAGATCAGCCCTTCCCCACCCTCCTCAGCTGCTTCTGCCCTCTGGTCCCCCATAGCTCCCTGGGCGTGGTGACAAAGGGGGTAGCTGACACCAGGTGAAAGCAGAGCCTAGCCTTCAGGGGACAACTAGAGGTACAGGCTGTGGGGCCTAAGCCAGGCCAGCTCTCCATCCACCTGTGCCACCTCCTCCCTACTCACGTCCTTCAACCTCCAGACCTCCTATCCCCAAATTCTCACCAGTTCTTTCAGGCAGGGACCCCAGCTCAAATCAGGTCCTCCCATCCTAGGCTGCAGCTGCAGCTCTGGATACTTGTTGGAAAGTGCTGACCTCCAACCCTGCCTGCCTGTGGCCTGTAGTCGCCATCCCTGCTTGCTTCCCTGCCAACAACAGGGGGAACCAAGTAGGCAGGGAGCCAACAACCAGAGATAGCGGGTGCGGCGCTCCTGCTGCTCCGCAGGGGTGGGGCGTCCCCCTCCCCACATAGCCGCACAGTCAGGCCAGTGGGAGGAGCTGCCCGTGCCTCCCCCCATGAGCCCGCAGGACTATAAAGCTGCCTCCAAGCGGTCTGCAGCTCCTGGACCAACTCTGCCAGCGGTGACTGCCCATCCTCTGCCGCCATGAGCCACCCGTCGGGCCTCCGGGCCGGCGTCAGTTCCACCTCCTACCGCCGCACCTTTGGGCCACCGCCCTCACTGTCCCCCGGAGCCTTCTCCTACTCGTCCAGCTCCCGCTTCTCGGGCAGCCGCCTGCTGGGCTCGGCGTCCTCCAGCTCCTCCGTGCGCCTGGGCAGCTTCCGCGTCCCCCGATCCAGCGCGGGCGCCCTCCTGCGCCTGCCCTCGGAGCGCCTCGACTTCTCCATGGCCGAGGCCCTAAACCAGGAGTTCCTGACCACGCGCAGCAACGAGAAGCAGGAGCTGCAGGAGCTCAACGACCGCTTCGCCAACTTCATTGAGAAGGTGCGCTTCTTGGAGCAGCAGAACGCGGCCTTGCGCGGGGAGCTGAGCCAGGCCCGGGGCCAGGAGCCGGCGCGCGCCGACCAGTTGTGCCAGCAGGAGCTGCGCGAGCTGCGCAGGGAGCTAGAGCTGCTGGGCCGCGAGCGCGACCGGGTGCAGGTGGAGCGCGACGGGCTGGCAGAGGACCTGGCGGCGCTCAAGCAGAGGTCAGGGGGCAGGGCCGGCTGGCGGCGGTGAGACGGCTGCTCCTCCCGCCCCTCCCCGCCAGCCACCCGAGGGAGTAACATCCCTGGTCAACCCCTGCGGGCGTGTGCTGGCGGCATCCTCGCCTTTCCTGTACCACTTAGTTGAGTCTCTGGGGAGGTGAGGGAGAGGGGGGAGTGACTGTGTCTCCCCTGTGTATAAAGGGGCCCCAGCTCAGCTTCCAGCCGGTTAGAGAGAAAATGGGGGCACGTACATTAGGCAGCCTGAAGACCCCTCCTCAGAGTCCTGGGCAGTAGCAGCCTCTACTCCAGATCCTGGGGGGCGGGAAGGACGGTGACCCCGCAGCTCAGTCTACGCCCATTCTTCCCGCCAGACTGGAGGACGAGACACGCAAGCGGGAGGACGCTGAGCACAACCTCGTGCTCTTCCGCAAGGTGAGCCCGGGCTCCTCGTCGACTTCCATCTCCCCACCCCTACCCCAGGCCTGCGTGTACAGGGTGGCATCTGTGGGTGCGGGGAGGTGACCATAAAAGCCTTTTGAGGCCGACAGGGAGGGCCTGGCCCTTCCTCGGGCTGAGCATCCCCTCCCTGCTCCTGAACCCCCACTGCCACACCACGAAGGACGTGGACGACGCTACCCTCGCCCGCCTGGAGCTAGAGCGCAAGATCGAATCTCTGATGGATGAGATTGAGTTCCTCAAGAAGCTGCACGACGAGGTGGGTATACCCAGATGTCAGGGGAGGCTTCGCAGGTTAGGGGTGGTCTCCTTGGACCTGGGAGATTGGCGGGTGGAGCGGAGAAATAGCCTTAGCCCCGCAACCCCAGTCTACAGGTGGTTTGCTTCCCGCCCCTGCGCCACCTGGTGGCGAGCAGCGGAGCGGCACCCTGTAACCTTGCCGCGGGCTCAAAGCCTACGGCGCTCAGGCCGCGCAGCCTGGTGTGCACTGCACTCCCTGGCGCCCCCTTCTGTTCATTCAAGTGTTTTCTGCTCTTTTCTGTCCTCTTAACTGCGCGGCTCGCGTGGGATCTGCGCGGTGAACTCGACGTCTTGTTGCCCCGGGCGGCAGGAGCTGCGAGACCTGCAGGTGAGCGTGGAGAACCAGCAGGTGCAGCAGATCGAGGTGGAGGCGACCGTGAAGCCCGAGCTGACAGCGGCGCTGAGAGACATACGCGCGCAATACGAGAGCATCGCGGCGAAGAACCTGCAGGAGGCAGAGGAATGGTACAAGTCTAAGGTGCGAGAGCCCAGGAGGGTTTGGGAGGGCCTGGAAGAATAGGGCGCTGGGGTGAGGGCGTATCCCGTCTGCTCACACACGGGTTGCCCCCATCCCGCAGTACGCGGATCTGTCCGACGCCGCCAACCGGAACCACGAAGCCCTGCGCCAAGCCAAGCAGGAGATGAACGAGTCCCGACGCCAGATCCAGAGCCTGACCTGCGAGGTGGACGGACTGCGCGGCACCGTGAGTACCAGGCTGCGCACCCGGGCCCGAGGGTGGACGGTGAGAGTGTTTCTCCCTCTAACCCCCACTCCCCCCTGCCCCCTCAGAATGAGGCTCTGCTCAGACAGCTGCGGGAGCTGGAGGAGCAGTTTGCCCTGGAGGCGGGAGGATACCAGGCCGGCGCTGCGCGCCTTGAGGAGGAGCTGCGACAGCTAAAGGAGGAGATGGCGCGACACCTGCGCGAATACCAAGAGCTCCTCAACGTCAAGATGGCCCTGGATATCGAGATTGCCACCTACCGGAAGTTGCTGGAGGGCGAGGAGAGCCGGTGGGGACTGGGCTAGGGGAGAGTGGTAGGGCGTGGTCAGGCAAGGGGAGCGGCCTGGGCAGAGTAGTTGACTCCACTTGCTTTGCCTGCAGGATCTCCGTGCCAGTCCATTCCTTTGCATCTTTAAATATAAAGACGACTGGTGAGTCTCCCTCACCTGGTTTCCTACCTGTCTAACCCTTTGTCCACTTCTTCTCTGTCCAGACTCTTGTTCTGGGATTGGTGAACTACTGAGTCCTGGTCTACTCTCACCCCCCCCATCCTTAAGCTCCATCCCTTCACTGACAGGAATGAGGGCTTAAAAGGAGAGAAACCCCAAGTATCCTCCCTTCCACCCCTCACCTGCTTTTTTCAGTGCCTGAAATGGAACTTCCCCAGGACAGCCACAGCCGGAAGATGGTTTTGATCAAGACCATTGAGACCCGGGATGGGGAGGTGAGATGGGTCACTTGAGACCAGAACCCCATCATTTCCAATATTATTTCTGAGCCCCAGCCAGGCAGCAGCTGATCTTAGGGTATTGTGGGTTAGTGGTTCTTGGAGTGGGAGGGAGACAGGGAGATAGAAAAAGTGGATAAGTAGACTGGAGCCTCAGTTGCTTATGCCAGAGAGGGGGACACCATGCCCCAAAGGACCTGGAAGGAGAGTGGTGCTGAATGGTTTGTGCTCTTTCCATGCCTTGACCTTAGCAGGTGGTGACAGAATCCCAGAAGGAGCAGCGCAGTGAGCTGGACAAGTCTTCTACTCACAGCTATTGAACCCATTGGTCCAGAGCTCCCTGACCCTGCCCTAGGCCTACTCTAAGCCCACACCCTAACACCAGTCCTGAATGGGTCTCCTCTTCCTCTGCATGTGTCTAAGGGATGGTACCCTTCCCTAGCCTGTAGCCAAGCCCTCCCAGCCTGCAGTGGCTGGGCCTCTCCCTGCCTTACATATAGATATGACCCATATGTTCCCCTTTTCTCATCCTGGTAAGAGGCCAATGATCCCCAGGTCCAGTCTACTCCTGCCATGATCCCATGATCAGTGGGATCTGAGTTTCACTTTCAAATCAAATAAAACTGCTGTCAAGAGAAACCTTTCCAATGCTTTCGTGTCTGTGGAAGTGGGGGGTACCTTTGGGAAGGCTCAGCAGCATTTTCCTCTTGTCTCTAGTCATTTCTTTTCTGATTCCTGCTATCTTGGCATCTATGACTCCTAGCTACCCTTCTGGCTTTTCTCCTACCTCTCTGTCCATTCCTTCTTAATTTATGTTCCCCATTTGCAGCCCAGAATGTCTAGATGCCTCTGGGTGTCCCATAGGTCCCTCAAATTCAACATGCCCAAAACAGAGCTCCTCGTCTCCCTCTCTACTATCTGTAATCATGTTCTTCCTTCTGGATTCCCCACCTAGAAGAAGGCACCTCTGTTGCCCAAATTAGAACTCACCTCATCTTACACCCCTTTCCTTTATTCACCCTGTCCCCCCACCTGCAACCAGCAATTCTGCTAATTTTACTTCTTAACTCATTCAAGCCTGTCTGGTTCTCCCCATCCTCACTGCCACCACACTAATCTAGGCCACCATCATCTCTTGTCTGGATTACAATATCTGCCCCATGGTTTCTTACCCCTGACTTGCCCTGCCACCCACCTACACCTACTCAACACCTCACCAGCAAATCAGATTCTGCTGCCACCACCCCTCCCCCTGCTTGAAAATGTCTCCTTCCACCCTGTCTTCTAACTCCATTCCATTGTACCTCTGCCTTCAAGTCAAAATCCACTTCTGAATTTAAAATGATCTTCAATTACAATGCTAGGTACAGGAAATAAACCAGAGTCTCCTCTCAAGAAGCTCACCGTCTGGGGTGAGGGGAGATAGACAAACAGACAATTCCAATCTTGTGATAAGTGCTATGACTGAGATAAGGAGATAGCTTTATGAGAACATGGAAAGGAGCACTTAACCCAGCCTTAGGGTAAGGATGGCTTCCCAAAAGTGGGGCCATCACACTGAGCACCTAAGAACAAGCAGGAGTTATTCAAGTGAGGCAGGGACAGGAGGAAGACTTTCTAGGTAGATAAGTCAGCCAGGAGATAAGAGAGCAAGTTTGGGACTTGAAAGTAGTTCTATAATATTGGAATGAAAGATAGAAAGGAAGGAATGGTGTTGAGGTTGGAAAGATGAAATGAGGGCTGCTCATGGAGGGGCTTATATGCCATATCAAGGCATTCAGAATTTATCCTAAGAACAGGGGAACAAAAAGGATTTAATCAGGAGAATGAAGTATTTAGATATGCATTTTGGGAAGATCACTCTGACTGTAGTGTGCAGAAACTATTGGAAAGAGATGGAGGACCAATTTAGAGGCTGTTGCAGTGAAACATGCAAGAGATGATAGTGGGCAGAGAAGTGGATGGCTTTGAGAAATATCCAAGGGATAGAATCTGCAGTACCTAGGGAAAGATTGGCAGGTGAGAGAAAGGAAAATAGCAAAGATGACCCAAGGTTTTGGCTCAAACAACCAGGCAGATTGGTGGGAACTTTCACAGAAACAGGGAAGACTGAAGAAGGGGAAGTGGGGCAGGCCAAGACAACAAAGTCAGTTTTAGACTTATTGAATGTGAAATGCTGTGGAACAACCAAGAGGAAGGGCTGGCAGGCAGTTGGATCCACAGGTTTAGAGTTCAGGTGTGATGGGGTATTTTGAGATCCTGAATCTATCAAGGTGCTTTCTGCTACAAGTAGCATATGATCTCATTTATAAAAAGAAAAAGAAAGTAAAGAAATAGCTCATGTAACAAAGAGCCAGAGGTAGGCAGGCTCTGAAGCTGGTTGATTTCAGCAGCTCATCAAGGACCCAAATTCTGTCCATCGTTCTTCTCAGCCTTCCTCCTTGGAGGGGAGTTTTGTCCTTGGGATGGTTCTCCTCGGGATCCCAGGATGGCTGCCAGAAGCATCCAGTGGAGGAAAGAGAAAAACCTCCTCCCTGGGCCAGCCGAGTGGTGCATTGGTTAAGAGCTGGCTGGGACGCCAGAGGGCCCTGGTTCAGATCCCACA